TTTAGTTTTTGTCTGATCCTTTGTTATTTTGGGGTTTTCTGGGGTCTTGTTCTTGGGTGTTTCATTTGTGGATTTTCGTTCGCTCTGTTTTGTGTTTGTGCTGGTGACTGCAGCTGCGTATGTTTGTTTTTGTGTCTGTGGTGTTGGGAGTAACGTCTTTCTTATTGTTTGTGTTGGTTCAGGTTGCTTTTGTGTTTGTGTGCTAGGGTTTTTGATTTCGTAAATTTTTGTTTTAATAGTTTTGTACTTTTCGCAACCCTTGTAATTGGCTGTGTGGTTTTCTCCACAGTTACAACATTTAGGTTTGGGGTTTTGTTTGGTGCATTGTGTTATGTGGTGGTTTTCCCCACAGCCAACGCATCTTGGGGTGGCCTAGGCATAGGAAGGCAACTAGCCAGTTTGTTTGTTTGTTTTGAATTTCGCGCAAAGCTACACGAGGGCTATCTGCACTAGCCGTCCCTAATTTAGCAGTGTAAGACTAGAGGGAAGGCAGCTAGTCATAACCACCCACCGCCAACTCTTGGGCTACTCTTTTACCAACGAATAGTGGGATTGACCGTCACATTATAACGCCCCCACAGCTGAAAGGGCGAGCATGTTTGGTGTGACGGAGATTCGAACCCGCGACCCTCAGTCGAGCGCCTTAACCACCTGGCCATCAACTAGCCAGCCAGCGTTACTCTTATATTATTAATGTTTGATAAGATGGTGGGATTTTACCGTCACATTGTATACAGTGAGGTTTATATATCTTTTGTACCTAAAAGCTCACTTATTTATTTGGCACAATAGTAAAAGCCTACGTATGCAGTTGACTAAACAAATGTTTAAACAACTCTATTCAATTACGCACCAGCTGCCTAGTGTCGGCTAACAATACGAATAATTAAATTGTGACGGAATGCTACAAGTTCTTCAAATATCTATAGAATGATAGGTTTCTTTTTAGTGAGTGTAAAACACTTAAATACACCATTTCGAGTTGATAACTCGTTAGTCTAAGACAGTCATAGTTGTCCCGGCCCGCGGCTGTCCCTAACTGCGCATCTCACGGTACATGGATTGAGAACCACTGTTATATCGTAGCCACGCCCCCAAAATGAATAGCGAGGTTTTGCGGCAACAGGTTGCGAGCTTTTTATCTTCGGATTTAAGTTACGGGCATGTTAACTACTAGGCAACTTTTGTCTCGAAGACGAAGATCAGCATAGTATAAGCTATTTGGAACTCTTAATAAATTTCCCCATAAAGCTGCAACTTGCATTTAAACTCTCAATAGACCTAAAATAAGTTGATAATTCGTTAACTGGTCGAAATTCGCAATCAAATATCCAAAACTGCCCATGAGCTGAGCAGATAAAAAAAAAAGATTGTTAATGATACAGTTTACTAAGTTATTTCGCTAGTTTCCGGTCCACATCACATCTTTAGATTGATCATGCAAAAATGTTAGCATCGATAAAGAACGATATCCTACATTATGGTCAGGGACTACTGCTTATAAAAAAGCACGTGACATATTTGTAAAGCATGCCGTTTCTAGATTTTCTTGGGGGAGGGGGGTACTTTAATGTAAGTAGGAATCCATTCTAAGGTAAATTGTAAAACATTAAAAGACTAATCCTGATATCTCAGGTGAGGCTAATTGAAGGGGGGGGATCTAAAATGGGGTCTGTTTCCCCACACCACCTCATTGGAGACGCTCCTGGCACAAAGTAAACCAGTTTAATCAAGCATTTAATTCTGTATGATAGCCAATAATAATAAGCCAATGAGGCTCTCAGAATAATTATGTTTCTATATGTCTAGTATGGGCCTGTTAGTTAGGACGCTTGAATCACAATTTGTGTGTCGCGAATTCGAATTCCGCTACCAAACATGTTCGTCCTTTCAGCCATGGGGGACGTTATAATGTGACGGTTAATCCCACGTTTCGTTGGTAAAAAGAGTAGCCCAAGAGTTCGTGGTGAGTGATATTGATTAACTGACTTCCTTCTAGTCTGTCTTTTCTAAATTATGAACGACTAGCGCAGATAGCCCTCGAACAGTTTTGCGCGAAATTTGAAAAGTAGACAATGTGTGGTATGAAGAACATTTAGATAACTGACTCCATTATAAGTCAGTATAAGTCTTAACGGCTAAGTTCCAAGAGGCTGACCAATTACATCACGCAAAACTGCACCCACTCGTGTTAACTTCAACAGGTAATTTGCCCCCCCCCCCAGTGGCAGAGCGGCATGTATGCGGACTTACAACGCTAGAAACCAGGTTTCGATACACGTGGTGGGCAGAGCACAAATAGCCCATTGTGTAGCTTTGTGCTTAACTTCAAACAACAAACAAACAAACAAAATAACAGGTAATTTATCGCTGAATCTCACATATATGATTCTAAAGGGTCGTTTTCCTGTGATTATTCGTTCACTCTCACTTTCCTGCACCACTAACACTCATTCTTCCAGCATGAAACAAATACAGAAAAATCTACACAAAAGCAGTGATTGTTTTAGCCTACGTTTCTAGAGTGAACAGTGGGTTTTCCACAAGGATTTGTCCACTAATCTACAGGCTTACTTTTCCGTATTCAGTAGTGCTTATTTTAAGTCAAAGAACGCCCCCCCCCCCCCAGTGGCCCATTGTGTATGTCTGCAGACTTACAACGCTAAAAACGGTGTTTCGATACCCGTGGTGGGCAGAGCACAGATAGCTCATTGTGTAGCTTTGTGCTTAATTACAAACAAGTGAAAACATTTTGGAATTCCTCTCACAATGGTTATGATATCTTGATTGTTTATATTTACTTTGTTCAAGACCTCTAGTTCCCCTCGGTGGCTCAACGGTAAGCTTGAGGGCTTACAACTTTAAAATTCGGGGTTCGATACCCGTGATGGGCACAGTGCAGATAGCCAATAGCGTAACTTTGCGCTTAAACAAATCCATTCCATAAATCCAGATTATTATACGCTATTCGAAACAACTTAATTATATAGAGGCGAAAGCTGTTTTATGTGTATCTCGAACACTGCGATTCATTCTTTAACTCCTAAATTTATATTTAAATCTTACTTAAAATGTATTTTGATCTAGTTCTCTTTCCCGCTACTCTTAACTCCTAAGAAGGTAACTCTGTAATAACTGATTTTCGTAATAATATTCTTCATTTAAACCACTCTTCAAACACTTTATCGCTATTTTATGCATATATATATGTGTGTGTGTGGCTTCCGAAAAGAGGGCGGGTGACCTTATGGCTTTGTAAAAGGTAAAATTTTCACTTATTTTAAAAATGTGTAAGTTATATGCCATGGTAGAAATTATAACATTCTATTCAATAAACGACTTAAATACATGCAATGTGTCAGGAAATATATATATATATTAAGATCAAAATATTCTCTTCGATCTTCTGATAAAATAACATCACTTTTACTTTTAATAAACGTTCTGGTGTTTTGTAGAGAGCATCCGCGAAAACACATCTGTAAATGATGTTATTTTCTTTCACCAGGAATACCGAGGTCGTCTTTTCAGTACAGCGGGCATTTCAACAATCGGTTTAGGAACAACAACAACAACCAATAGTAACTTGTCATCTAAAGCATCATCTCATCTCACACTCTCATCTTCTGCCACTCCCTCACCGAAATATTTAAGGAGTAGACGTAGCTCTTTACCGACCTCAGGACTTGGTCTTGTTGTTGGTCGTCCCTCCATTGTGACCTCTACACTTAACAACCAAGGTACCTATCCAGAAAATATTGCAGAACAGGAACCAGAATGTGTCGTTCAGGAGGAGAAGGAACAAGGGTAAAAACATATATAGATATCCGTAGGCATTATAGCTACAGCTTTTATTGAGCAAGAATGTTTTATGCAGCTTTTGTTTATTTGGTTTCAGCTACGTTTAAAAAGGTATCACAATCATTAAAACACAGCGAAAAAGTGAGAGTTTACCTCAGTTTGTTATGCCTTTAAATTCTCGTTGAATTAATATACGACTTATTTAAATGCTGCAACCAAATAAATTATGCAAAGTAGACATTCAAAGTTGAAAGCATTTCAAACAAAACACTGTTTTAGTCATGGGCGTACGGGGGGGGGGGGTTCAGAGGGGGGCTGTACAATTTATGCCCGAATGAGGTTATAAGCAAGAAAGCTAAAGTTTAGCTAAACATTTTTCGCTGATGAAGAAAATTTGCAAGAGGGGGTGTATTTTAAGCTTTTAATTTAGCTCGAATATATACTTAAAACTTGCTCGAATTGTCGAAACTTCTGCTACCAGCTTTTTCCGGATGAAGGTATAAATTGCCCGAATCACCAAATATTTTCTGCTTTTAATTTTGCCCCGATGAAAACTGAAAATTTGTCCGAATGGCCGTAGGTATAGCCCCCTCGTACGCCTATGATTTTATCCCTCACGTCTCTATGACATTAGATAGGGTGATCAAACTGTTTTAGCAAGAAACTGCAGCTATCAACCAGTCATAGTATAGAATAAAGTACTCAAAATAAGCAGCTACGCTCCATATTAATAATAACGTAAGGTAAGGTAAGGAAAAATATATCAAAGTGCTTGAAAATTAGACAGCATTAAAATAATTCAGTAAAAAAAAAAAAGTAGTTTGAATTTTACGCAACGTTACTCGAAAGCTACCTGCATTAGCCATCCCTAATATTGAAGTGATATAAAGGGAAGGCAGCTATTCAACACCATCCATCGCCAACTCTTGAGTTACTTTAATCGAATAAGGGAGACTTGTCTATCACCCTTATAACGAACCCACGGGCCCAAAGTGCGATTTTTTGCACAAACGATCGTGAAGTATGAAACCTCAGCTCCACATTCCGGATCATTAACCACTAGACCAATAAGAAGTAGAAAAGGCGGTAAACAAAACCTAAACCAATGCTTAATTATTTACATTATTATGTTCGTATTAATCCTTCACTCAAGCAAAAATTGATTGGCCGTTTTTCATTTAATGGTGTTCACGTTTTTAGCCGCGGCTTTGCGGCTCATAAAATGGCTCTGAGTTATTTTTCAACTACAAACTTTTAGCTCATAGCTCCGTCATCTTTTTACCGATATGAGATCTAATTATAGTTTTAGACTCAGGAGGTCAAACCGTTTCGATTGATATATTTGACCACGCCAAAAATCTCATAGATTAATTTACTCTATTACTGCCTCAAATAATTTCAATTTGAGGGTAGGCTGGTAGAGGTCCTGATGAGTAATAAAATCGAATCAGGTATACGCGCACCCCACGCTTGGTATTGCTGACGCACAAAAATATAGCTAATAAAAGGAAAAAAGGTCTCATAGATTAATTTACTCTAATCCTGCCTAAAAGAATTTCAAGTGCCGCGGCTGTTGAGGATTCCCTCTTGTTTTCAGTAACTCGCGCTAATGATTCATTACTGACAATACATTATTAGCTTTTCTATTAAATTTTTATCACTATTGGTGTCTTTTTAAGAGAGCTATTTTCAGGATGTAAAACGAACCAAGTTTTTCATAAAGTGACCAGAATCAATTTGTTAAAGATCATGACGACAAAGTAGAAAGTCACTGATAGTATAAGTACCTGTGCTGGGGCGTTCACAACAGAAACAGAAATGGTTTGTTTGTTTGTTGTTAAACACAAAGCTATGCAATGGGCTGTGCTTTGCCCACCGTTGGAATCGAAGCCCGATTTCTAGCTGTGTTAGCCCCTTAGCTTTACCGTTAAGCCACCAGGAGGCGAAGTTTCTTTGTTTTAATGCAAGGGTACACAATACACTATTTATGCTCTGTCCAGCATGGGGAATCGAACCCTTTAGCCTTGTAAGTCCCTAACACAGCACTAATCCATTGGGGTACAACAGAAAGGGACGGTCCCAAAAGATCTAGTACCCTAAGAACATGGACTTCTCTGCTGAAGTTAAACATACCAAGATATAGCAACAAAAATCATAAACTACTTAGACTATTAGTACCGTTTGGTTGATGTTCTATATAGTCATCTGAATAAGTTAATGTCACTAGAGTTAGACCTGTCTATGCAATTTGTTACTTGTTCATTGAACTTATTACACAGGTATTCACAACATTACAGACAGTCTACAGAGTTTGTATATTTTTTTTAACTACAACAAGATCTTAGGAAAAATAAAAAGTCATCCAAAAACATAATAGTATAGTAGCTTTTAACAAGTAAGTCAAAGTGTCACCCAAGAGATATACAAATAAGTCTTAGCAAAAAACTTGAAAACATATTCTAAAAGCAAAATAAATATTTTTCACGATCAGGAGTCTTAAGAATACTCACGTATTGACCAGTGTCGTTAAAAGTACGGGCAGGTGTCGACAAAAAAAAAGCAAAAAGGTAAAACATTATCCAATATCAACAACATTTTTATAAGACGCTCTATGTAATTTTGGACATTTTCCCCCTAAGTTTCTCTTATAGTATTGCCCCCAGTGGCACAGCGGTATGTCTGCGGACTTACAACGCTAGAAACCGGGTCTCGATATCCGTGGTGGGCATAGCACAGATAACTAACTTATTGTGTAGCTTTGTGCTTAACTAAAAACAATGAAACAAACCTGTAGTATTTTCTTTACAGAGACAAGGGTTCGCTGAAATCTGATTCATCCAGGAAGCTACAAGATTCTACAGAAGAGAGTAATATGGACAATCATCTTACTACCACATCTTATACAGAGTCGGTTGGATATGATCCCGAAATGAGGAGACATGAATTAAGAAGGTATTATTGATGTACACTTACCGAAACATGTATGTAACGGATAATATCGTTTCAAGTTACAAAATTCGCTAAATACTGTTTTATTTTTCAAGGATTTATAATATTATTCTCATTAAAACATAATTTCCGCTGTTTTTAATTGCTCTATATATGCACTATAAAACATTATTTTTAGCGCTGTCCTTGATGTTCGGTAATGTTGAGTAACTCAATGATTATTGTATTCAGTAACATATCATGTGTTTATGTATTTCATTTGTACATAGTGTTCTTTAATCTTTAGTGTGCTCTTAACTATAATTTATAGTTGACAAATTAAAGATTTGTTTTCTGGCTAAACCTCAGAAATTTAGATTGCACAGCTCTATTATATGATGCTTTTTTTCCACCAAGAACTGTTTTATTAATTAATTAACTGAAATGCGTAGACAATTTAATATAGTACAGTAAATAATAAAAAGTATTCTGAGGCAGGATCCTTTTTGTTATTATCTGAAATGGTTGTTGTTTTTAGGGCAAAGCTACACAATAAGCTACCTACGCTCTGACTTTTGCAGAAAATTGAACCCCGGATTTTAGTATTGTAAGTCCGTAAACTTACCCCTGACCCACGAGGGACGTTATTCATGGTATTAACTATACTTTTAAACCTATTTAATTAGGCTAGACAAATAAATTGGAGAAAAATACTATATGGTTGCAGCAGTCCAAAATGTAAATAAAAATTAACATTGATAATATTTTATTGGTGTTTTTTAAGCGGTAAGTTATCTTCCAAACAAAAGAATAATTTGGAAAATATTTTTAAATACAGAAACTTCCCTTGATATTTCTAGGATAACAAATGACTTACGAACATATTGGAAAACCAAAACTTGGTCATGTATTGTACAAATAATAATAGTTCATATAACATATGCCTTCTTTCATAACAGTTGCACCAATAATTTAAGAGATTATTTCAGATAAGTTTAGTAGCCACAGTAGCTTGAGGAACGCCAGTAAATATATTACGGAGTTAAATCTGAATTCTCTGACTTTGAATTCGAAACAAGAAAGAAACTGAACACAAAGTGAAAAGCAATATTTTTATATGCACAAACACGTGTGAGTACAATTGATGATTTGACAGTACTCTAGATCTGGTTCTAAACCTGAACCTAAAAATCTGTTCCAGACTTTCATTAACCGCACCCCCCCCCCCAAAAAAAAACATATATCACGTATAATAGTTAAAAGAACCGCCTAAACGTCACGTTAGTGTAGCCTATATAATGTGTAAAGTTTAGTATACTTTAATCCAATGTTTCTGAACGTGGGGCGCACGCCCCACAGGGGGACAATTTGAATATATTGGGGGCAATTTGAAAATGCTACAATAAGAAAAATTAAACTTCTATTTTTTTGTTAATTTCTAAATTTTACATTATATTATTATATCTTTTCAAAATCAAATTTCTTTTTATATTAAGGGGCATCAAAGTTATTGAGGTGTCGAGGTGGGACATGGAGCAAAAAAGGTTAAGAACCACTGCTTTAATCCCTTATAGTGATGGCACACGACGAGACACACATTCGGCATGTAATGCTGTTTGAATACAAGAAGGGAAACAGTGTCTCTGTAGCCACAAAGAATGTCAAAGAAGTTTATGAAAATGTTTTGTACGTTCGTAAGTGTTAACGATGGTTCAGCAAATTTCGTTCAGGTGATTTTATCCTTAAAAATTGTGATGGCAGAGGCCGACATGTTGGAATTGATATTGATGCTCTGATGATGCTTGTTGAGTCTAACACAAGGCAACACTCGTGAAATGGCCCTGAAATTGTACGTCTCTCAAGAAACAATACGTAAACATCTAAAAGATATGGTAAAACTCCATAAAGAAGGTGTTTGGGTACCTCACGAACTAACCGATGATCATCGTTTCCGACGTGTGAACGTTGCTTCGTCTCTTCTGGCGCGTAATGCGCGTGAACCATTTTTTGGACAGAATAGTAACCGGTGATGAAAAATGGTTTCTCTATGCGAATATTAAACGCCAAAAACAATGGCTCAGTCATAGACAAAAACCACTTCCGACCCCAAAACCTGGACTCCATCCGCAGAAAGTGATACTTTGCATTTGGTGGGACATCAAAGGAGTAATTCATTTCGAACTTCTCAGTCCACAGCGAACTGTCAATGCAGAGATCTATAGTTAGCACTTGGAACGTTTAAATCAAGCCCTTCATCAGAAATGCCCTTCACTCGTTGTTCGGTCTTTTTCATCTAAAAAAATGCGACATTAATTTCTTGACGACCTAATACCATCCCTCTCAGTGTCTAGGCGCTACCAACGTCACTATTGGTCATTCCAGCAGCATGTAAGTAGCACATGGCGTCAATGTATCACCTGCCCTGTTATTGTAAAAGACCACACCCACCTTTAAACAATATGCTCTACTATATAGCAAACGTTTTCGCGAGAAAGGGCATTTGACACCAAAGGAGAATGACCCGAACTGTAGGTAACAATAAAAAAATCTTTATTGGATGAAAACGAGCAATGTTAAAGTTCAATCAAACAAACAAAGCAAGTGTTTGAATGTCTGTGTGGAACACTGGAGAGAGAGAGGTTTTACTGGTTCTCTCTCTCACCAAGTCAGTGTGAACCTCCCTCTCCATGCATGAAAAAAAGGCTTAAAATTTATAGTTAAAGTTTAAAAAATACAAGTGAAGAAAACAAAAAATGTAAAACTTTAAATGAAAATCTAACGTTTGAAAAACTTATTTCAAGCATATTACTAAAATGTTCTAAAATCTGTCTGTGTAGGAGAGATCCTTGCCTATATGTATTAAACAAAGCCGGACAGTTCAAGGCTCACACCTCTCTCACGTGACCCAAGGCCACTCGCGTTTTAGCACAAAAGCGAGTTACATTCCTGAACATTATCCGATTCGCCGACAGAAAAGACATTTTTCTGTTGTATGACATCACAAGTGGCATCACGGCTCTATCCTTCCTGCAAGAAAACACATTACATGAACAATAAGAGTGACTCTGGCTCCGTGAATGTTGTTTACTTGACCAACTGTCTATGTTAAAACCAAATTTGAAATAACTATAAACATATTAACAACAAAAAACATATTAACTAAGATGATAGCAAAGTATGGTATCATCCTATACCACAAGCCTATACCTTTATGTTTAAGGTGGACGTGAAATGTTCTCCTTACTTAACTAAAGAATAAAGGAAACACTAAATTTACAATGACTAGTTGTCTACCCTCTGGTCTGACAGTTCAAAATTAGGAACAGCTATGCACAAATGTGCCTTCGAGTAGCTTTACGCGAAAACTATGAAACAACAAACGATAACAAATCTCAGAATAATTGCCACGCTCAGCTAACAACAGAATTGAGTTCTATTTTGTCCCATGTATTAACAAAATCACAATTTTGACCTACGTCTATTTGAGAACTGAACTTGGGTACAAGGAGCCTATCTCGCTGACACTTTTAAACACCTAACTAACCAACTAATCACACAACAAAAGACTTAATAATTATCTTGAACTGTAGGTAACTATAATGATCTTCTGGTTATAAGTACTTCACAGGCTCACTTAAAAGTTAGTTAGTCTAACAATAAAAGTTTTGTGCACTTTTGGATAACTACAGCTAACTATAATGATCTGCTGGCTATAAGTACTTCACAGACTCACTTAAAAGTTATTTGGCCTAACAATAAAAGTTTTGTGCACTTTTTGATATCCTTGAATAGGGCAGTTTCAAATCTATTAGTCTAGACATACTGTATGCCTATATGAAGTAGTTATCCAAACAACCCACGTGACAACAATTTTCACTTGAACTTGCAACCCGTTACAAAAATAAATAAAGAAATATTTCCATTAATAAAACAACATTGAAAATTATTATAACGAAGTATTTCGTATAATTTATAAATTTAAATGTTACTGCATTCTTAATCACAATATAATGTCTTAATAATGACGATTTGTAACAGCGCCCGGCGTGTTTGTGTGTTCTTTCAAAAAAAAACTATTACTTTTGCTATGAAAATTCTCGTTTCTCTAATAGTTTAGCAAACTGTGAAAACCGTGAAGAGGTGCTATTAGAACAAAACTACCAAGGTTTCGCAGAGGACGAAGACAACACTGACCAAGGAAGTGAAATGGGAGAAAATACGGAAAATAACTTAAATATTCGTGAAAACTGGACCGTTAGAGATAGCAAATTGTAAGTATCGCACAACAAAATCCTTATAAGTTCATATTATTTTCAAAATTTTTCTATAAAAACTATTGTTTAATTGGACGTTATGATTGTCAATAAAGCTTTGAATGCTCTGTTTAATCTGAATAAGAAAAAAAGTTATGCTGTCTAAATAAATATGAAGCATAATCTCCTCTTTAATTCTTGTATTATGTATATAACCCAGCGATTCGAATAGAGTATGTTACAAAAGGCACCATATTTCTGAACTTACTTCAACAACGCATTGACTCTTTATGCTTCATATCAAAATTATTAACAGTTTAGTTTGTAACATTACACAGGCCTGCGAGGGTTATATTGTCTTGATATTGTTATGCCCTGTTCGTTTGTTAATTTTCCG